TGACATTTTAAAGAGAGTCCATTTCTACTTTTTCTCCCACTGATTGGTCCCCATAAACAGCTGCTTAAAAGAACTGGCTTGTGTCCTCAACTGTCCATCCAGCAAGAGAACAATACAGTACTTACATTAGAAAGAACCATCTCTCTTGCAACCTCTGCATGGCCATCTTAATATCCACCAGAGAAATCAGATTTGTGGGAAGCACAGGAAGTGCAAAAAGGAATCCAAAAAAGGGACTATCTGTGGATGTGATGTTGGAGGCAGCTCATTACTAAAGTCATTTATAACACTATTTAGTAAAGAGATCTGTATAACATAGAATACCTTTGGGTATGGTAAATAACCAGCTCTATTCACAAACTGCCTAAAAAGATACGTACTTCTACTAAGCCACTGTCTCTGATAAGCAACAGGAAAAGGGAATGGAAAATTAATTTTATTCTTACTAACGCTGAATAAAGAGGTGCTTATGATGCACAGGGGCTTTATGGTCATAAAAGAAGACTGTCTCTGCTCTGCATTCTTTGTGAAATGTCATCTATCTTCCAGGAGGAGGAGGAGGAGGAGGAGGAGGAGGAAACAGCCTGACAGCAGGTAGGACAGGATTTCATTGAACTGGTGATCATCTAGACCAGTGATGGCGAACCTTTTAGAAACCGAGTGCTCAAACTGCAACCAAAATCCACTTATTTATCTCCAGGGGCTGGGTGGGCGTGGCCCACTGGGTGGGCATGGCTGCGGTGGTCACAGCAGACGGGGTGGGCATGGCCAGGGTGAATGTGGCCACCTTGATGTTGCTCGTGGTGGGGGCCGGGCAGGGTTGGGGGAGTTCAAGGGGGTCTCTGATGGGTGGGGCGGCCAGGTGAACCGGTTGTTAAATTATTTGAAACCCACCACTGGTCACTTCCAAAGGCTATGTGCTCACTCGCTTCCTGCCCACCATTGCATCCAAAGGCTGCTCACTTCTGCCAAAATCTGCTCCTTTTATAGGTTCCCTTCTCCCTGCCCAGCTCTCGCAGCTGTTCCCAGACTCTGCGCGTGTGGAGAGAGGGGGGGGAGCAGCCCAGGCCCAAGTCCTCTGTTTGGGGCGATGGCATGCATGCCCACAGAGAGGGCCCTGAGTGCCACCTCTGGTATGTGTGCCATAAGTTTGCCACGACTGGTCTAGGCTGTGGCCTCTGGTCTGTGCCCAATAGTCCACTCCTAGCTCCATTACTGAGTAGGACAAAACAGCTTAAGTACAGTATTAACAGCCATTAATTGGGGCCTCAAGTTTAAGAAGCTATTCTACTTGCCCTTCCCACTGCATTTCTCCTTGCCTATCAGAACTCTCTGGATATGTTTCTCTGGATTCCTTTCCTGCTATGAAAACTAGACCACTGAATACATACTAGGAGAGAAACATGTTAATAAGAGGCACAGAAAAGGCAGAGATGAGGATTTTGACCTTCACATCAAGACTGGTACAATTCTACATCTCACCTGACACACTCCTGGTGTTTAAAATTTGATGACACATCCTTTGGGAGGGGTAAATTATGCTCACAAATTTTAGTGCCACTTTATGGAACATCACTTCCTGCTTAAGCCAGTTTATATATGAGACTATATTAAATAACATTTCCTTCACCATACTCTTGAAAATATCGCTTGGAGAATAACTAGACAACTATAATGGGAAATTATTAGTCTTTTCACAAAATTGCACTTCATATTGTTCCTTTGGGAAGCGAGGATATTGAAACTCATTTTAAGCCATTCTTCAGAGATAATACAGAAATACCCTTATTCCTCTTTTAATACAGCACTATGTCATTTTTCATGATCACAATAAAAGAAGCAAAGGGAAGAATGAGAAAAAAACAAGAGCCATGAATATGCCTTAGAAATTAAATACTGAGTTTAGTTCAATGCAATGTGGATTGAAAATTTTTTTTCACTGTACAAAGAAATGTATGAAAACAAGTACATAAAAGTCTATGGAATTAAAATAATACATCATCCTATAATATCTACAATAACTAAGAAATTGTTCTTAAGAGCAAACTGCACATTAAGTTGAATACATAGTTTTTAATGCTGTTTAAAATGGTATTTAATTTGAATAAAAAAATTGTCAGCCCAAAGCAGACTCTTGATCCCAAACCAATTCCCATTGGAAATCATCTTTGATTTCTATTCGTACTAATTATGCTGATTGTAAGCCTTTCATATCCTTTAAACAGATAGTTAAAATATTTTTGTTCCCATCAGATTTTAGGGCAACAAAATGTTTAATTTTCATAGCCATGGCTGTTGTTTTTTCTTTTTCTGACATTGAATGTTGTGTTCAATTGTATTCCTATTACATTGTTGTATATGGCTTTGAGACCTTTTTATGGAAATAAAATAAAATATTGAACTAAAGGGCTGTGATAGTTCCATATCAAATATTTCTATTTGGTGGTGGTTATTTCAACATTAATGTGAATTAAAAGTAAAGGGAATACTGTCAACAGAATGCTACATACAAAGTCTGAAGATAAAGGTGGGGGGGGGGAGGAGAGAGGAGTCTACAGAATAAGCAGAACTTCACTTGTTCAATGTTGGATATCACACCATACACCCCAGAAAAACTTCCTTCATATACAAATTAAATGGGAAAATTATAATCAGAGATGCCCATTCAAAATATCAGAGCAAGAGATATCAGAAATAACGCCCTTAGCTGCGATTATAAGATTTGCAATAGTGGCAAATATCTGTAAGTCGAGTGTAGGATGAGGGTGAAAGTTCGTTCTCTGAGCTTGTGGGTTGGTTTCAAAAATGTTTCATCACCAGGGTAGGTAACATCTAAAAACGCCACTGAAGATGTTATCTAACCCGGTAACGAAACGTTCGGAAACCAACCCACAAGCTCGGAGAACGACCTTTCACCCTCACGATTATAAGGCTTTTGGAATAATATCTTTTAAAAGTATGGGGGTGCATTGTGTACCTTGCAAACTCATTCAGTTTTATTTATCAAATTTGGAAATGTCCCATCTCCCTCACAGAGGGACTTTGAGCAGTGTGCAAATAAAATATTTTTTAAAAGTATAAAATTTAAGAGACAAGGTTGAATAAAAAGTCAATATTAAAAGGTAATTAAAAGGTGGGGGAAAGCTTTCAAGGTGCTAACCAACCCCATAGCTGAGTCCGTTCTGTGAGCCCCAAGCAAGGCAGCAGAGTCATTTTTCACATCTTTCTAGGCCAGGAGAATGGGTGCCTGCCTCACTTCTGGGGGGGGGGGATATTCCACAAGGTAATTGCAATGGCAGAGAAGGCTCTCGTTATGGACCCACCAGTTGAAATCCTTTAATGGATGAGGTCTGCAACATACCTTTCCTGTCTGACTGGGTGAGACTGGCTGATATAATGGGGAGAAAAATGGTTGTGTAAGTAATCTGGTCCTATGGCAGGTAGGGCTTTAAAAGTCATAACTAACTGCTTGAATTGGACCCAAAAGCAAACTGGCACCCATTGCAGCAATGTATAGCAAAATGTGCATATTTAAAGAAATATATAATATCTTAACAGCACATTCAACCCTGATCGAACGCATCGTGACGTTCCTTTCTGCAAATTCAAGGCTGGGCAACTCAGCAGTGGGAAAAAGGTTCTAGGTCAGAATTCTGTAGGTTCCCTAAGTGAGTTTAGAACAAAGGAATGATTGAAACCAAGCTTATCTTGAGCTCAGCAGTTGCATCCAAAAGTGTGTCTTTTGAAGAAATGGCACCTGTCAAAAGAACAGATTCTTCTTCCCCCTGCCTTCCACCAAGCTCTTTCAAAAGTTGGGAAGGACCCAGAGCAGAGCTGGAACATATCTGGGAGATTGCAAAAAAGGGACAAGAATAGGGAGATTCCCATGAGGTTACCACAAGTGTGTTCATGTGATATTGGACATGGCCAATAAGATACAGCACGACAATTTCCTAATGGGATACTGGTATCAGTGTGAGGTTGAAGAGGCTGTAGGCAAAAGGCAAAACTTTCCCGTAAAACAGTATGTGGTTACAGTGGGGAAGGTGTTGACCAGGAGCAAGGGGACCCAAATCCATCACATAAAGCCACTTGAGAAGCAACCTGGAACTAAGGAGAAATTTCCTGACAGTGAGGACAATCAACCAGTGGAATAGCTTACCCTCAGAAATTGTGAGCGCTCCATCATGGAGATTTTTAAGAAGAGACTGGACATCCACCTGTCTGAGACGATATAGGTTCTCCTGCTCGAGCAGGGGGCTGGACTAAAAGACCTCCAAGGTCCCTTCCAGCTCTATTCTATTCTAGATTCTAAATTTGGGCCAACTTACACTGGAGGATGCTTTTGTGGGAAAAAATGAATGGTGGGAGCCCTATGTATGCAAACTTGACCTCCTGAAAAACACAAGATGAGACACCAGTACGGTATACATTTTAATGAAACAACTTTGATATCAACTAAAAAGTGCTTTACTAGAGCACAGGTAGAATAAATAATACCCAAAGCCCCTTTTTCATGTGCTTCATTAAACCTTTGATTCTGTCCTTTTTTTTTTTTTTAAAGGAAAGCCTTTTCAAGAAAGGTGCAGAATTCAAGACCACCAGCTTTCTCATGTGCTAGGAAAGTGAGATGCATTTAGGCGACGGGGTGCCCGGCTAGCAAAAAGGAAAGAGACCCTCTTCTTTCTGACTTGAAACAATCCCTCAAGGGATGTTTTATGTGGTGGGTTTCGCTGCCTAATCCCCCTGGGGGCCCGGTTAACATATCAAGCAGCCTAGCCCGATGGCCTTTGCCAGGCGCTGCTCCTGCTCCCTGCCTGGGTCGCCCCCCTCCTCTTTTTCGCCCTCTCCTGTCACTGAGCCGAAATGGCCTTTAGCCGAAGGGCGCTAATTAGCCTAGCGAAACGGAGAAGACGCCGGCCGGGGAGTTCATTTGGGTCTCCCCGCTCTTCATTTGAATGCCCGCCACTCCCTTGGCACCCGGTGGCCCCTTTGGTCACCAAGCCCCCCCTCCCGCTCCCATAAAAGCTTCTCCCGAAGCCAAGACCCCCGACGTGGCTTGCATGCGGCCGCGGGCAGGACGCCGTGTCCCCTCGCTTGCCTAAGCCTCTGCCTCAGGAAGGGCCAACCGAGAGCATGGACGCCGAACCCCCTCCTTTCTTCTCCTCCTCCTCCTCCTCTTCCTGGGACTGGAAGGCCGGCGGCGGCGGGGCTCTGGAGCTGGGCCAAAGCTCGCCGGCGCAAAGCCTGTCCCCGTCCCCGTCCCCGTCCTTCGACTCGTACGCTTCTTCGCCTTATCCCCTGCTGGTGGACCTACCCTGCGGCGCCGGCGGCGGGAACGAGGGCGGGAGCACCCTGAGGGGATACCCGCTAGGGGAGTTTCCCTCCGTCTATCTTTCGCGGCCCGGGCAGGGCCAAGGTCAGAAGGGGCCCAAAGGGCGGATGTCGGTGCAGCGCAGGCGAAAGGCCAGCGAAAGGGAGAAGCTGCGGATGAGGACGCTGGCGGAAGCCTTGCACACGCTGCGCAATTACCTCCCGCCCATGTACACCCAGCGGGGCCAGCCGCTCACCAAGATACAGACGCTGAAATACACTATCAAGTACATCGGCGAACTCACGGATTTGCTGAACCCCGTCAAGCAAGGACAAATGCCTTGAAGGCTTTGGGGAGCTTTGTCCTCTCTGGAAGGCAACCGTCTGTCAGATTCCCCCCCCCCCACGCTCCACTTGACAGGCTTCGGGTCTTTTTTTAAAAGTGACATTTTTACGAACAAATGTGGTCAAACCCCTTTCCAGTGGAGGACGCAGTCGTGCGGCTTTGTTGGGAACAGTACAGAAGTGGTTTGCCCATTGCTTTGTTCTGGGATGTGTCTTTTTCATTGACTTTTTGATCTGCAGTCCTGGGATTTCCTCATGGTCTCCCATCCAAGTGCTATTCCTACTTAGCTTCCAAGATGGGTCAGCTATTACCAGTTGCCCAACTGTTCAAAAGACAATTGTTCAAAAGACAATTTGAATCAATCCCTTATTCTAAATGACAAGGGTTTGTGGTATTTTGGGATGCTGCACAAAAGGCTCACGTTGGACAGGCATTGAATCAAATATAGGTGCTGATGAGACTTCCTTTTTAAAAAACTGCAATGTTAATGTGCCAAATTTCATTTAATTGGGTATACCTTGAAATGGCAACCAATGGATTTCTTAAAAGAAAAATACTTCTCAAATCCCTACATATTTTTTGGTTATGTCTATTGTTTGATAGGCACTTTATATTAGCAGGAAGAATATGTTTATGGTTAACATACATTATGGTATTTTTCAGTAATTTCAATGAGAAAAGTCCTAAAATGTATAAAAAGGTGATTCTGATTGGAGCTATTTGTGTTACAAGCCTGGCGCATAATTGAGTTGAGTTTACATAGATGTAAATTGCATTTTTGATCAAATAATACTTACTGTTTTTTAGTATGGGACATCATCAGTCTGGCCCAAAATAGTTGTCTTCATAACATGGAGGTCAGTTTTAATGCAGATGCATTTACTGTTTTTGTAAATATAGAACTATTTTTAAACTGATAATTGGGTGTTGCTCAATCTCTCAGTTATCAAAATCAGGGGAAAGTAAGGTGTGGTTTTTTAAATTTTTGTTAATAAATATAAATAACCCATATAAGGGACATACTTTCAGCGTCCTAAATTGAATACAGTCCAGCTAGGATTAATCCCAATGAAAGCAATGAACTTAATCATGCCTGGAAAAAATTTCATTGACTTCAGTGGAAATTATCTTCAACTATTTATTTTTTTTTCCTACACATTTCTCTATAAACCTTAGCGTTTGCCCAATAGCTGGTTATAACACCCCAGATGTTCCTTAGCATGACAGAAGTCATATAAATTCATCTGAAATGCTTCTGTAGGGGAAACTGAAATCCAAATCAAAATATGTGATTTCAGCTCATGTGCAGACAAATTATGGCTCCTTATGCAAGGCTATATATGCCATGCACAGTTGAACTTCATGGGCACTGACACATTGATTGCACACTGTTCTTAGAAGAAAACACCCTTTGAACAGGAGCATTATCAAATCTGAAGCAGCCCATCTTGGTAATTTGATTGCTGCTTTATTAGTTGTAAGGTTATGTATTCAGTATATTCTGTGTGCTTGAGGATATGTTAGACTGCAAATGTATGTGTTAAATGCCAATCAGAGGTTCTCATGCTCAAGTTCAATCTGGCCATTGTTGAGTGAGTCCCTTGATAGACAGTATCTGTCCAGCTGATCTGGCAGCAGCTCATTGCTTAGGGAGTTCATCGCACACATCTTACTTTGAAAAAGATAACAAACTTTCAGCATGATTCAAATAAGCTATTTTCCCCTTAGCCATCTGGGGTAGGGTGGGGTAGATATCAGGAGATGCTGAGATCTGTGGTACTGCATTTAAAGTACAGTGTATCTAACTCTGGTCTTTTGGTTCCCCTCTGAATGTGATTGTTATTTTTCCAGAGAACATGCTGGCAAATTTTCTACAGTATTACAAATGAAGGAGAGGAAAGTAGATTTGCATACTCACAAATCATGTTTTATTCATGTATATTTCAAAAGCATCTCTGGGCTTTGGGGACGAGCATAATCAGCTGGAGAGAATAAAAGAAAGAACAGAAAGGTTTTGTCTTCTTAAATAAAACATCATATAATCTCTCAGTCTTGATAAATGATTTCAAGTGATAGCAAAGCTCTGCCATGGCCTAAAACCCGTCATTACAATGCAGAAATTCTCCCTAGCCTAACAGCCAGCTTTCATTTCCAAAATCATGCCCTTAGCAAAGGCTGTTCTCTTTTTGGAAAAGCCGTGTGTTGTTCCATCGCATGGAGGGAGAGTGCATTTCCCTGCTTTAGGAGCGGAGTGACAGTCTTAATTCAACAGAACATTCAGGAAATCAGTGTCAGAGGCTACATACTGTACATCCCAAGGTAAAAAGAAAAAAAAAGAAAAGGTACATTATCAATTTTGATTGAAAATAGATTGCATATGACCTCCCCTTCTCTCCTTCCACCCTCTCATACCAACCAAAACAGAGGAGAAAGAAGAGCTGGTGTGCTGCTGCAATGCAGATGGAAACTGAAAAATAAAAGAAAGCAAGTTCACCTTTTCCTTTTCCTGTAGCAGAGAAACGGTAGCCGTGATGTGAGATGAAAAAAGAATGATTAGAAATAATGGGACAGAGGGATAGGTTTTCCAGTGTCTGATTTACACTATTGGCACATCCAATTGCATGATCAACAGTTTGGGTTATTTCAGTTTCCTTTTACTTTTTTTTAATATAGGTACAATGGGCATACTTATGTCTTTTCTCCTTTTATATGTTAATTACAAACATCTTTACTTAAAAAAAATGGGTTTAAAGAAAGGGAGCTACAGTCATTCTTTCCCACTCTGACTTTTTCATTACATATGGGATTTTTCCTCAGAATATTAGTAAGTATAGGTTATTATGATGTACCAAGAAATAAACTGGAAGGATGCTTTTCTAAGGCACACACAACAGTTTTTTGACTATAACTAAGGAATTGTATCCACCAGTGGAACTTCTCTCCAAAGAACTCAAATCTGCTTTTGAGGGGGGTGTTGTGGGTCATGCAGAGGAGTGAAGGGCTAAGCATGGGGAGCTACAGGAGATACACACACACACACACACACACACACACACACACACGTGCGCGCGCAGATGCTGCGGTCCTAGAAAGAGTGCGAAGAACAAAGATAATGAAAGGGGATCTTGAGGCTAAAACATAGGATGAATGGTTAAGGGAACTAGGTATGTTTAGAGTCAGACTAATGAAGAGAAGGCTCAAGGGAGACATGGCAGCAGTCTTCCAATACTTGAAGGACTGTCACAGGGAAGAGGGAGTTGATTTATTTGCAGTCCTGATGGGTGGAAACTCATCCAGAGAGATTGAACCTAGAAATAAGGAGGAATTTCCTGACAGCAAGAATGATTAGTCAATAGAATAGCTTGCCTCACCAAGTTATGGGTGCTCCATCATTGGAGGTTTACAAGAAAAGATTGGACAACCATTTGTCCGGGATAGTATAAGGAGTCCTACTTTGGGCAGGGGGTTGGACTAGAAGACCTCTAAGGTCCCTTCCAGTCCTATAGTATTAAGTATTTGGAATAATGTTGGATTTGGCACAGATTTCAGCAAAGGTTGCAGGATGGGGGGAAAAAAGTAATATTGATTTATTTATAACTTATTCTAGCTTGTATTTTATAAAAAAAAGTAATTCCGTAGGGGAGAATACAATAATAAAACAATGCAAATGTCAAGAATTAAAACAATGCACACACCTAAACTACAATACTTTATGTCAAATTACAAATAATAATAATAAACAGGACAGGTTAATAATGACCAAACTACACTGTAGCATATTGAGTATGAGTTCCAGGCAACAAAAGAAAACAAATAGGTACAAGCATCTCAAAACAGCCCATTGAGGATGGGGAGGGGGCAGTAGATGGGCAACCTATAGAAACTGTCTTTTGGGTGGAAGGGAACTGGGGGAAGGTATGGAAGGAGAAAAGAATTGTCCAGGAGAAGAAGGAAGGGGTGGAGCATGAGGAGAAAGAGGAGGAGGAAGGAGAAGAAAGAATCCAAGCTGCAAATTTGTTAAAGGTTCCGCTTGTTAAAACTAAACTAACTTTGAGATTCAGATGGCATTACAGTGGCTGTACAGCTACAAAAACGCTGCTAAAAGTCAGCAGGTGAATATCAAAATATTACAAAACACCACAAATCTGCAAAGTTGGGAAGGGGGGAATGAAGAAGGAACGGGGAAAAAAAACCCTGCAAGATAACTTGCTTGATTTAATAAACATTTCAAGGAGGATGAAGCATGCTCCATGTTGCTAGGTGGGAGGGGAGGAGTGACAACTGGCAAAACAGCGGGTGTGGTTCCCCCTGCTTTGCTCCTCTGCATGAACCACAATACCCCCCCCCAAAGGCAAATTTGGGTTCTATGGAGAGAAGTTCCACTGGCGGATGCAATTCCTTGTAGTCAAAATTTTTGTTGTGTGTGCCTTAGAAAAGCATCCTCCAAGTTTGTTTCTTGGCACATCATAATAACCTATACTTACTAATATCCTGAGGTAAAATCCCACATGAAATGGAAAAGTCAAAGTGAGAAAGAGTGATGTATCCCCTTTTTTGGGAAGGTTGGATTAATCTGAAAGTGAGCCTGGCTTGTCTATCTGAAAGGACCCCTCTAGAGGCAAGTTGTCTCTCCAATTTTTTTTTTCTTTCTAAAAGCTTAAATAAGAAAAAGTAATCAGAGAGAAGGCTTGCCATCAGTTTGAACCCCATCTTTTCACTCCCTTCTCTGGTGCTTTCCAGACATGTTTTTGGGCTGGCTGGGGACGATGGGATGTATAGTCCAACACATCTGGAAGGCCACAGGCTGGGCAAAGTGAAATGATCTGAATTTCTACCCCTGTACTATACTGTACTAAAATGAACAACTGTCCCTTTAAAAACACTTTCAAAAGAAAAACAGAAATGGTACCTCTTCCCCCTTCCCTCAACCATAGAAAGCGAAGTGGGGAAAGGAAGCCACTGCTACCTTTGGCTGAAATTACCAAAGGTGCCCTCTGGA